GCGGACACGGACACGGCGCGGACGCCGTCGCGGACGCGGTCGCGACGGTAGCAGACGCGTTGTGGCGGACACACGAAAGCAAAAACCGAGTCGACAAAACTTAATAAAAATCAAAGAACGAGGTGTGGCCCAGAGCTACACACAGTGCTGGTGGCGGCCGATAGGTAGAGTGGGAAGGTGGGGAAATGGAAATGGAAATGGCAATGGCAATAGTTACTTCAGACCAGACCAAACCGAGAAGAACCTCTACGAACCGAACCGAACGGAACGGAACGGAATGGAACAGAACTAAAAAATGAAATCGTAGCGATAGAAATTAAAAGCCAAAGCTGGCCACAAAAAAAAACCAGAGGCGTGTACCCCCAGAAGGGGGGCAGAGACGAGTGAGCGACATTGATTGAAAGCTTTCACTTGCTTGCGCTTTTAAAAGCGGAGCCCACGCCACGGAGCCCGGGGAGCACTCCTTGAGCTATTTGCATATTACTCGCGCTCGGCCCTCCCCCCCGAAGCCTGGTCCAATGAATTAGCAGCGGCTAAGGATGGGCGGACAGGGGCAGAAACAATGATTTAAACAAAAGGAATCAGCCATGTCGGTGTGTGGCAGCCTGGGGAATCAAACATCGATCTGTCTGTTGCCTACAAATCGGGGAGTGATTCCACCACCGCTCTACTACCAAATCTCCCATAAGTGAATTGACTCACGAATCCGACTGTACTGCTGGTGCCACCTGCACAGTTTCTTGAGAGCCAAACGAATCCAGTCCTTTCCCCGAGATCATCCCAAACACACCTTCCCACTAGTCCTTATCCCGCGTTATCCCGAGCTAGCCCATCAGTTCCTTGGGTACCGGCTTCTCAGGAGTTTCCACATGCAAGGGCGCTTTTGGGAAATTTGCATATGGTTGGCGATGGGCGTGGTCGTGGTCGTGGTCGTGGTCGGGGTATATTATGATAGTGATAGATATAATCAAGTTGGGCAAACATCAACAAAATATTATGTTACCCGCAGGCAGGAGCTGATGTTTTGGTGTCTCCCTGATATCCTGATATCCCCACCAACGACACATGGCGTGTGTGCAGCCCCCCTCCGTCCCGTCCCCCGCCATCTGCCAGGAATGAAGGGAAACAACAAAAACAATCAGCTAAAATGGCAAAAAGGCAAAAAGCCGCGACAGCGTGACTAAAATGCGCACGTCAATCCTTTTTTCGCCCCCGCCCCCCTCGAAACCACCCTTCTAATACCCCCTAAATGACGCTGTCCCCCTTGCCGTAGTACAATGCTGTAGCAATCGTAGAGAACAGAAGTTTACATTGAACTATGGCTGGGAACGATGTTTGGCCTCCAAAATACCAGAAAATTACTCCAAATTTTAAATATCTGTCCCCACAACCTGTTTCAGGCGGATAGTTATCGGTGGGTAGAAAAGAAAAGCGATTCGGATATACATACATTCGTCGCGCGTCATGCGGCAGCGCCTCTCGTTTGCTGTCGCTTGTGCCTCCCGAAATGTTTCCAGTGGGAAGAGGGCATCCGATAGTCGGTTCGTCGTATGAATGTGGGGGCCATGGGTTTTTGTTTTGGGCGCGCCAGGAGTCGGCCATGTTTACGGGGCGTTTTTAAATGGACAGGAGACGCCGACGACAGCAAACAAATAGCAGGGGGGCGGGGGGGCGGTGGGGCAGGAGGGGAGAACAATTGCAGGCAGACAGAGAGAGAAGAGGAAACGAGGGGGAAGAGGAAGAGATAGTGGTAAAGGCCAAAAAGAAGAGAATGGGAAGGGGATGGGGAAGGGAAAGGGGATGGCGAGGGGGATGGCGAGGGGGCAAAGGCAGACGAAATTGAGCGCAACTAAAGTGTCACCGTTAATTTCCTGAGCGAAACGAACACGAAATAAAACTTCCCGACATCGAAATTGAAATTGAAAAGCATGAAACAAAGAACAGATGAGAAAGAATAATAAGGAGAGGCAGAGAGGAGAAGAGAGAAGGCCCCAAAGGGCGGCAGACAATTAGCACGCATTGGCCATAACCATAAACGACAAAACAACAATTAGCAGCAACTATTTTCGCTTATTGGCCCTAAACAAGGGACGGACGCCTGGAGGCCAAGGGAGCCCCAAGGAAAAGGAGAGCCTCAAAGGGAGAGAGGACGGCCCCAGACGGCCCTGCAGACAGAGAGTTGTCAAATGATAAGGAAATTTCATTTGTAATTAGTACTAAGGGCAGCGACGGCAAAGGACATCGGGAGGTGCGGTGGGGCACCGAAAGAGAGAAGGAAAGAAAGAAAGAGGCAGCCACAAAAGCGACAACCACAAACCGAAGCCAAGAGAAGGGAGAGCGAGCGAGCGGAAGAGCGAAAGAGGGGGACAACACGGATGCGCTGCCATGACATTTTCCGACCAGGCCTCCTCCTCACGGGGCAGTCATAGAAATTGGTTCAACATTTTGTTGCCTTTTATGATTTCGATTGGCAGTGCGAGTGGAGGAGGAAGAGTAAGAGGAGGCGGAGCGCAAGAGGGAAAAAAGGAAAGGGGAGGCGTAGATCGTTCGAAATCAGTTCCTACCTCCCGGAGCCGAAGGCCTCTTCGCCTGGGAGCTCTCACTCTCGGCTCTGTTCGGGTCCACTCGAATGTATGCGTGCAAGCCGATCCTCACACTGGAGTCCTAGGGCGACGGAGTGGCGGATGAGCACGGATGAGTAGGAATTCGATTGCATGAGCAAATCAAAAAAAAAAAGGTGATGTCCAGGGGATGAACCGAACTGAAACGATGGAGCCATGGCATTGCCGAGCACTGGTTCCAAGCCGAGTCCTTGAACCAAAAACCAAAAAGTTTTCCCCTCGGGAGGTCATTAATTTTCGCTTAAATTGGAAAAAAAAAACCTCATGCACAAGTTGCAGAGAAAAATGGAGAATATAAGGCAACAAACTGATGCGCGAGACGGGGGCAGAGGGAGGGGCAGGGCTAACAGGATGAGGGCAATAGTTTAGTTCGGATTCGGATTTGGATTCGGGTCCGGAATCAGTGTCTGGGATCAGGGCTGCTGCTGCTGCGGCTTCCGCTCAAGCTTTTGTCCCACTTTCAGATTCAGCTTCAAAGTCAGCTGCAGCTTCAGATTCTGTTTCAGTTCGAGGGCTATTCGGGTCTCGGCCTCGGTCTCGGTCTCGGGGCTGCTGAAAAACATTAAAATGGAATTAAGCTTCAAGTGTGCCCCACAAGAGGCAGTCGGTCGTGGCCATGTAAATCGCAGGGCGCAACATTCTGCCACAGCTACAATTTGTCGACAGCGAGGTCGCCATCCTTTCGGTTGGGTGCCAGGGGCACGGGACACGGGGCACGGGACACGGAGCACGGGGCGCAGGGCACTGCAATGACGCAGAGCATTTAGAAATCCATTAATTTCAATCAGTGCCCATGACATTGCATTATTATTATTATTGTTATTATTGGTATTACTCTCGGTTGATGTTGCTCTTTACATTTGCACCCCTTTTCGCCCTTTTCGCCCTTTTCACCCCTTTCACCCCTTTCGCCACTTTTCACAATTTTTCCGCCCTCTCACACTTCCCATGCGAATTTTCAAGGTTTTTACCGCTGCTCTTGCTCGAAGTATTTTCAAGGGGGACTGCAAAAGTAAGGGCAGCTCTCGAAGAGCTGTCTAGATCGCGCACTTCATGGGCGTATTGATTTCGAAATTGCACTGCGGGCCCCATTCTCCCTATCGCCTGCCGATCAGCGCGGAACACAACTCTCTATATGAAACTACTGCCCTTCCCTTTCCTGATGGCATCCCATGGGGGCCCTCCCCTCACCCGCCTGCGTGCCTGCGTGCCAGCCAGCAAACTTCCACAAAGATATCTCGAGTGGTGGAACTCGAGCTCTCAAGGTGTTCTCACCGCCTCGGAAAAGTTGCACCGTTCCCTTCCGGAAACTGCAGTGCATTTCACACTGCACTTTGTGGGGGGTGGAGAGTGGGGAATGGGGAATGGGGAATGGGGTGTCCCAGGAATGGGCAACGCGTTTTAATGACTCAACATTTCTTGACTTTGATTCGAGTCGCGGAAGGAAAGTAAAAAGTGCAGGTTGCTCGTCTGAAAAAGAAGAAGCAGGGAGGGCGGCCCTGTGGGCATGCGGGCGGGCGGGCGGGCGGGCGGGCGGGCAAGGGGCGTTTTGGCCAAAGCCATTGGCCCGCTTTTTTGTCGGCTGTCAAAATAACAAAGTGCTTCAGCTCCGGGGCCACGAAAAACGGAGAGTGAGAGAGAGAGAGAGAGAGAGAGTGAGGGGGGTCGTGGGTAGCGGGTAGCGGGTGGGGCCAAAAGGCAAAAAGTGTCGATGAATGTTAAAGTTAACAAGTGACGGAAGTGAATTTACAGGAAGGGCGGGGCACGGAAGAGAGGGCAAAAGGCAGCCACAAAACAAAGGCAAAGGCAAAGGCAAAGGCGATGGCAATGGCAAAAAACCGAAACGGACGAGAAACGAGAACGAACACGAAAAAATTAAAAGGCAAGTAAGCAAAAATCATTTCCACAGAGTGCAGGACGAAAAGCACAGCACGAAGGAGCGCCAGGACCCCCCCAAAAAAAGGGGTGCCTGGATGCGCCGACTGATGGAGGGAGGGTGGGAAAAGTAGGGCTCGGACAGCCCTGACATGAGATGGATGGAACTGAAGTTTGCGAATCGATGGCGCCTGGGGCGGAGGGGCAAATGCGATTGCGCTGAAGACAGGAGATCCTCAGGAGATCCAGATCCAAGCGTGGGCGATGAAGGCAGCGAAGAGGAAGCTATCCAGAGGATAGGGCTCCCAAGGGCCCTGTTCAGAGCCCACATATCCCTGCCCCCGAGTGTGCCTCCTGCTGATCCGCGCGTTGGCCCGGGGCGATGGTCCTCTGTTGCCGTTGTAGCATCATTGCGTATTAGTTTAAGCCACACAAACCACGACTTCCGCCTTGTCGCCGACTTATGAATCAACTCTGGCTCCCGTTCTCTCGTTCTCATTGCAGTGCTCCTCGCCGTCAGCTGGGAGGATTGGTGGACATACGATGGAATCTCAGGTAAGCCGAAACCCTCTCCTCTGCCCCCCTTTAGGGTTTAAGTTTCATAAATACCAACAACAAAGTAAATTTTAATCAAAGCTCAGAGTGAGGGAGAGGGAGAGGGGGAGGGACTGTCGGCGGACAACAATAACCGCGACGGACGGAAGCGAAAAGTACAATTTTCTGCCAAACGAGGAGCACGCGTCGCTTAAGCAACAAAGTAAACAGAAGTAAAGAGAGCCGCGATGCCCCGTCCCGCCCCGTCCCCCCCCGTCCCGTACTGGCAGCCCCTGCACCTGTGTGCTTGTGTGTGCGAGAGGGTAATACTGCACTCATTTGCGTGAGAGAGGGAGGGGGGAAGGAGAGGAGGAGAGTCCAAAGCCATGGACGGCATTGTTGTTGCCGGTGTAAAACGATTTTCCCAGCGACTGAAGCTGCACGCGTGAACTGCATGGAAAAAGGCACGCCGCCGGATAAGACGGAGGAGGGAGCCGGCGCCGGGGGAGGGGCTGTGCTGCTCCCACGGGGAAAGCACCATCGAGAGACGAAGCCGATTTGCAGCTGTCAAATGGAAAGGCAGACAAAGTAGAGTCGGGGCGGAGGGAGCGGGGGAGCGGGGAAGAGCGAGGCAGAGGCAGAGGAGAAGGCCAGTCACCGGAGCAGTAGCTGGAGCAACTTTCCTTTTTTTGCGCCATTGTCTGGGGCATATCCCCTGGAACGTGATAAGCAAGGATTCCAGGACTCCGACGGGGACTCCCAACTGAGACGGAGACTGAGACGGAGACGGAGACAGAGACTGCGACAGACTCCGCCAAACGGAGGCGGCGTACAATTCGCCATGTGTCACACGGGGGGAAGGCGAGGCGAAAGGTCCGTGGAGATTATGTCCAGACAGGACGGCAGACAGCCGATAAGCACGGCTCTCTTTCTATCGCACAGCCACTCTGCCCGGCACTCTCTCTCTCCTTTCTCGCGCTCTCTTTCTCCCTGTGTGAAAGCATCCTTCTTAATCTTATTAGAGAGCGACGCCATTTGCACAAGACAAATGCATAAATAAGTTCAAGTGCTTTGAATTTTGAATTGGATTTCGGAACACCCCCAGGGCCCTCGAATTTCCGGTGGAAAACACTGGGGGAGAGGTGGAGGTGGAGAAGTGGGCATCGGGAAAAAATCAAACAGAGAGAGGCAGGGAGGCAGCGCAGAGAGAAAGCCGAAGCGAGTGCCAGATGATCTCCTGCAAAAAGTCCATTCCCGTATCGAAGGGAAATGTGGAAAAACGGGCCCGCAAGGGGCTAGGGGGGTGTGGAGTATAGGTGGGGACACAGTAACACGTGTTGTCAACAAATTGCAACCGAAATCCAGGCGAACTTTGTGTCTCTTTGGCATAAATAAATTTGCATAAGCATTGCATACATGGCAGGAACAGGAGCAGAAACAGGAACCAGGAGCCAGGAGCCAGGACCGGCACTGGCACGGCACTGGGACCGGCACTGGGACCGGGAAAATCCCTCGCTGGAGGAAAGGGAGGACACCCAGCTGCAACGTGCCACTTGTTTAACGTGATTTGCACTCGCAACGAGTCAAATAAAGGCAACCCAAACGAAATCAAACGAAGCGTGCTGCATACCTCAAGGCCCAGACCAGCTCCAACTTCAGGGGGGGTTCCCCTAACCCTCACACGAAGGGGCGAAGGAGAACGGAGGACGGAGAAACACCAGGGAGCCAGCCAGCCAGCCAGCCAGCCAGCCAGCCAGCCAGCGAGTCAGCCAAGCCACTAATGTTGTTAATGGCTGCTAAAATCGTTTGGCAATTGCCTCATTGACTCGAAGCAAGGCGCAACTGCCACTAACAGACCACCCCCCCACCACCCGAACGAAGCCCGACGCCAGACCGCAATTTAATAGACTCGAGACTGCAATATCCTCCAGCGCTATCTGCTGCTCTTCATGCAACTCCGCGCCGCCATCGCGTGCTGCAACGCGGTGCATCGGTGGTGGTGGTGGTGCCGTGACACGAAAATCAGTCACACACACAAGCACGACGCTTCCGATTTCCGCTGAACGAAACAGGAATTAATGGACGTGCCTGAGAGACGGCAGTACTTACTCACCATCTTGCAGATTAACTGCCTCTCGGACTGTACTTCCCGTTAGGGGCCGAACAACGTCCAGGAAGAATCGGCGCATCTACGAATCACGCCGTCATCTCTAGACAGCATCTGGGGGCTACCTCTTTTTTCTCTTGTTCTCCCGGGGGTTTAGTGTTATTTTTGCCGTACTTTTCATTGGGATTTCCCCGCGAGCTTTCTTTTCGGCGGCTAATGCGATGGCATCGTTGAGGTCAACAATCGCTTAAACGCGTGTACGTGGCATATCTATGATTGAAGCTTTTGATTGCGGCCTCTCGCCCCGATATGGCGGCTGACGCGAACGTGTTGATTCTCGGGCACACTCCTGTCCTGTGCTGTCCTCCGCTCGCTCGCCGGGTGCGCCATGCCCCATGCAGCACTACGTGTCGTATACGCAATGCGCCCTCAGGCGAGTCATTTTTATGGATGGCTGAGGCCGCTCCGGCCCTGCATCGCTGCAGCTATGGAAAGGAGGTGGCAAGTGGCAACTGGCTCTGAGGGAATGTGTGCCATAAATGGGATTACAAGTAGATGGAGTTGATGAGGATGAGGATGAGAATGGGAATGAGAATGAGAATGAGGAGGCGATGAAAGGTTTTTCCGGAATGGAACAGTCTAAGCCGCTAGAGAGAGTAACATAATCGGTTTATTTTAAGAGAAGAGCGTACATATATAGTACGAAAGGTATGTGGCAGGGAATGGCATCAAATCACTAAATAGGATGGATCCGAAGATATGCATGTGCAAAAGGCTTACATTGAGACCCAGTCCAATGGACTCTTCTTCTGGGCTGCGAAGGAATGCCGAATAATGGATTGTGAATGGGAGGACATACTCGCAGTAATAAAATTGGAACGGACTATGGAATATTGAAACCATTCATCATATATGTATGATCTCCATGAATGATGGAAGTGTGAGAATGGGAATGAAACACGCAATAAAAGAGCTTTTAGAGTGTTCCTTCTGCTCCTCCCATCCCTTGTTCCCATGCGCCCTGTGTGGCCCGGCGACAATTGTTTAGACCAGCTCGACTTGATTTCATATTGCCATAAATTAAGCTCCCAGCCAGGATAAAGTTGGCCAAAACCAAAGCCATAGCCAACGACAGACAGAACCGAAGATAAACCTGCAATTTTACTGTTTGCCCTATGGTCAGACCCGACAAGGGCAGCGGGGCAACGGGGCAACGGAGCGAAGGGGGGGGGGGGGGGGGGGAAACTAAGCAAACCGCACAAAATTAAAGCAGTCCTCCGACTGGGGGACGGCGGACTGTGGCAAAAAGGAGCGCAAGGACATGGACACAGACATGGAAATGGCTGTGTGGCCCGAATCAAACAGAGAGACGGGGAAAACCAAAAAGGCGAAACCGACGCAGGCCAACACCTATGCAGATGCAGACAAATATTGTAATGGAGGTCAGGTCCCGCCCCACTCTCTCACTCTTTCTCTCTCCCTCTCTTTCCGTTTTGGCCATTATACAATTTGTGGCAAGTTTTTGCTGCCCCATAGCCCTGCCCTGCCCTGCCCTGCCCTGCCCTGCCCTGATTGTGGTAGGCAAAGGAAACTTTTTGGGAACTGTTTGAGGCAAAGTGGGTTCATAAATCTCTCTGGCACCAATGCAAACGCATCGATTTGACAATTTTCGTAGCTAAATCTGAAGATGGACTTTCATCATTGCAGGACCTGCCTTCTGGGGCCTCATCAATCCGGAGTGGTCGCTCTGCAACAAGGGCAGACGTCAGTCCCCCGTAAATCTGGAGCCGCAGCGCCTGCTCTTCGATCCCAACTTGCGGCCCATGCATATCGACAAACATAGGGTGAGCGATTAATAAGTGAAGAGCCGCGAAGACCTATCCAATCTTCCAATTTCTCTCTCTCTCTCTCTCTCTCTCTCTCTCTCTCTCTCTGTAGATATCCGGACTAATCACCAACACCGGACACAGCGTCATCTTCACGGCCGGCAACGACACGGTGGCCAACTACGATGGCATGCAGACGCCCGTGAACATCTCGGGGGGTCCGCTGTCGTACCGCTACCGCTTCCATGAGATCCACATGCACTACGGCCTGAACGATCAGTTCGGATCGGAGCACAGCGTGGAGGGGTATACGTTCCCGGCGGAGGTAAGTCGACGAGACAAATGTCAATTTCAATTTTGCCCCACCAAGGGTGCCCTTTGCTGGGGCGAAGCCCCAAATTTGCCATTGGACACTTTGACACTCGGGCCTTGGGTTCTATTTCGGTACGCTGTACGGTGTACGGTGTACGGTGTACGGTGTACGGTGTACGCTGTCAACAGATTTCTTTTAGCTTCCAGCCCTCTTTAACAATTCAATTGTGTGTGATAAGAGGCGGCTGGGGTGAGGGGTTGGGGTTGGGGTTGGGGTTCATTGAGTCAAGTTTTTCAACTTTTCTTGCGTCATTTCTTTTCCATTCTGTCTCATTGCCCGCCCCATTGTGCTCTGTGTCCTGGCTCTAAACTTGTTACCAACTTCACCTTCCTCTTCCCCTTCCCCTTACCCTTCCCGTGCCCCACAAGCCTGCTCAAATATTTACACAGATAAACGAGCGGAAGTGTATTTGATCAGCATTTAACGTAGCAAATGTCGATTTGTCGCTGACAAAAAAATAAGGCAGTCAGCTGGTGGAAATACGAGCAAAGAAACGAAGCAAAGTCGCGAGCGCAACGGTCGGTAGCCGAATCTAGATATACCCTTGCAGGTCCTCTGCTGTTATATAATATATTCACCAAATCTGTATCAAGCTTCAATTATCTCATTCACACTTTAAGTATTTCCACTGCGTTGTCACAAATCACAATACTTCTCGAATAGGGTATTCAAAAAAGTCAAAGGCACCCCACCTCGTCTGCTGGGCGGACGGGATGAGGAACGGAGTACAAACTTCCTAACTTCAGTCCTCAATGTTATCATCAACGCTCTGACAGGTTCAACATTTCAAGCGAGGGAGAGAATGCGGTGCTCTCTCTCTTGTCTTTGGCTTTGATTTGCCTGGCCTTGTTCTCTTTGTCGCCCTGCACACGCCCTTATGCTTTCGAGACAAATCATTCACACTTGTTAGAGTGGGAGAAGTCTCCCAAGCAGCTTCAGTTGTACATACACAAAACGGTTGTACGCCTTCGTACATAGATTCGCTTTTGTGACTACTTATTCTTGCTGCGGCGATCGGCTTCGTCTACGCGCATGCCGATCGGGAGAGCGGGAGAGAGCATGTCTGCATACCTGAGCGGGTGAGAGAGATTTTCTGTCTTAGCATAGTCGATTCCGCTATTTGTCCGCTCTCTCGGTTGTTGTCAGCTCTCACAACTGCACTTGCTGCAGCCAAGAGGCCAGAGTCAGAGGGTGAATGAGTTAGGGAAGGTGAATTATAAGTACAGCTTGGACACATGGAATATATGTACATTGTTTTACATACGGACATATGTATGTATGTAGAACATATATTTGCCTACAATTACACAGAAGTATTTATATTGATTTTTGCACTTACCTTCAGATTTATTTTCATTGCAAGCAGACTGTGAATGATTTCACATTATCATCAATTCCAGTTGTTGAGGTCTGCTGCTGCTGCTGTTCTCTGATGATTTTGTAGGAGTATTGTTTTATTTGTACATTGTTTTATGGCGTAAGCGGGGAGCATATTTATGTGTCATATGGCAGAATGGCAGACGGGGAGGTTGGGGCCTTCTCTCTTACAGACGTCGACGCAGACACCTTGTCTGCCGGGCCCACAGTCTGCCCATCCCTTTCACGGCATCGCCTGACGGATGAACACATGCGTGCTTCCTTCTGTTTGCCTCCCCCTTCCCGTCTTCACGAATGCTTCAATGTGATTTTCTCGTTCCGCCTGCTTCCTTCTATTTGCGTCTCTCTTCCTCCTCTGTTCCTTGTTGTTTGTCAAATATGATTTAACCTTTCTCTTGTTGTTGTTCTTGTTGCTCTTGTTCATTTTGATGTCAAGTTCATACGCTCACACATGCTCTCTCGCTTCAGTTGATTTTGCTAGCAGTTTATTAAAAATATGCAAATACGCGACTTTCGGCGGTCGGACTGTGACGGGGGACGGGGACGCGGACGCGGACACAAACAGACTGGTGGGAGAGAATGAACAAAGCATCTCTGATTACAGATCGTAGCAAGGCCTCTCCCTGCAAGGTATTTTGCGTAGCAGGTACAGCTTTGCTCTACTACTTACGTATTTAATGTACCTTGTCCCTCTCTCTTCTTCCTGTATGTTGTGTATCTCTGCACCCGTCGCTAATTTGTCTCTTTCCTGCAGCTGTCCAGATGGGTCCTAATGATACCTATTGATTTGATGGTCCCCAAGAGACATGCCCATAGCCAAATATCTTGCCAAAATACAATTAATTGCAACACTTTGCCATTTGTCCTGCTTTCTGCCCTCTCGGCCATAATCTGCAGCTGCTGGCAATAGGCCAAGTTATTCCAATTAGTCAATGGCCGTGTTAATAAACTCATAATTTCCAGATGCTACCAGATTGAGAACTGAACGAAAGGGAAAGTTCTGGGACAGCAATGCCGTCAGCTCGTCACAAAAATGGGACAAGCCGATCCAAAAATAAGATGCAAATATTAAAATAAGGACGCAAAAACAGGAAAACATTAGTTTTTTTTTTAAGGTCTTGGCATGCATCGCTCCAACGTTTTCCAAATCTAAGAAAGGGAAAAATTCATTTATAATTTATTTTTTATTTGCGAACATAGTTTTACCTGATGAAAAGAAATCCATTTAACGTCTAACATTGTATTAATTTTCATTTTTTTGAGACTGAGCATTGGTGGCAACAGTGAGATCTGAGATCTGTGTGCCCAGATAAAGACGGGCGGACAGACAGACATGTCTATTTCGAAGCGGCTATTGATTCCGAGGTCGAAAATGGTTCCTTCTGGGTGTTACACACATAAACTTCCAGCAAAAATCTAATATATTCTTTAAGTATCGGGTAAACAAAGGAAAGATTGTTGCGGAAAAAGGCTGTAGTGGCATCACTGCTCTTTTCCAGCATTTTATTCCTTCAATCATCTTTGTTGCAGCTGTAGTTCCTGCAGTTTGCTGTAGTATTGCCCAGGACATCAGAGTTAATGCTCCTCTTGAAGCGAAACTCACAAGATTCGGAAAATCTAGGAGTTGTTGCCATTTCTGAGAACTCTTCTATGGAGTCTAGTGGGTCCTCAGAGCTTAGCCCCTGTCCTCGGATTGGATGCTGCTGTCATCTGTCGGGCGGTCCTCAGCCACTTGACTTGACTCGAGTCGAGTTGAGTTGAGTCGAGCTGGGATTGGGTTGAGTGATGGGCGACACAGTTTTCATTTTCATTTTCATTCCCATTAGCATTTCGTTTTGGCTTCGTTGTCGTCATGCGGCGCCTTTGTCTCCTCTCGACAGCCAGCGAGCAGGCAATCAAAAGTGAGCCCCCGACTGCAGCTGCAGCGACGGGTTGCCTGCCACAACAGGCTGCCACAGCAGGCTGGAGCGGCGCCAGACAGCAAACAAATAACGTTATAAATCTGTTGCATGTCAGCAGTCGGCGACTATCTCCGGCGGTAGAGTAGAGTAGAGTGCAAAGGAGTGGAGCGGTGATCCCCACTGCCACTGCCACTGCCACTGCCACTGCAACTACCGCCAATGTCAGCGCAAATTAATTAGAAATCCGGCAGGAGGCCACGTCCTTCCCGTAAACATCCGCCTCCGACTGGTGACTGCCGACTGGCGACTGCCGACTGCCGACAATGAGACGATAATGAAGTATGCGGTGTATTATTTTGGTTAAATTAAGACTAGTTCGACTCCCCTCCCTCCTGGTAGGGCTTCTGGGCAACTTGGAGATCGACAACTCTGAATGCCCCATTTGATTTTAATCTGTTCTGAGGACGGGGATGGCAATGCAGATGGGAAAAGGGGTTGGGGATGGCAGTGTTCCGATGAGTGAGCTCTGCTGTTAAGGGTCCTCCTCAAAGAGCTGCAATTTTGAGCTGAAACTGATTTCTCTGGGAGAGAGTATGGTAAAATGGAAATTTAATTTCAAAACTGCAATTCGGTATCACATTTTCTGGGTCTTCTAAATTGTAATACCTCTGGCGGCTTTCAAATACAAGTTTATTCGGTTGAATTGAATCTAAGAAAGGTCTGGACTGTACTGTACTGCGCCTTTGGGGCTTATGGCCCCCCGTGGATGCACATGCAGACAATGTGCTCGCATGGGACTTTTACGGTGCCCAAGAATTTGGGCAGTCCATTCCCCACCGGATACTCGGAACAGTTGCCGAGGACTATATTGACATCAACATCCGTTTGCAGAAACGTTCCCATCAGGACACGTCCGTCCGAAATGACAATCTTCAAGCAGCGTCCCAGCCACTCCAGCAGCTCCGCCATTTCCGGTCCCAGCTGCTTCTGGCCATCCAGTTCTGCGTGCATCATGATCGTGTACAAGGGCGTCATGGTCGTCCCCTGGCCAGAAGTCAAGTTGTATATGTTCTCACTCGGATCAGCCATACCAATCGAATTTGATGTGCACTATTATTAATAACCAAAGCCCACTTTCTGGTCGTTCCAACACACAACTTGCAGGAAATCCGCAAAGAATTTAATTGTAGAGAGTGTTACGTTTTGATTCACGTATGTATGTCTTTGAAGTGAAACTGAAATGTGACTAAGTGACATATTACATGCCGAAAAATACTTGGAAATATCAAAAACTCGATATCCAAATTCAATACGTAAACATCCGACGATTCCTTGAAGGACTGCTTGATGAAGCGATTCATCGGAGGCTCGGATGAGGATGAGAGCACTGACAAGTACTCCAGCTGCCTGGCTGCTTGGTAGACCGTAACGAAAGCCTCCTTAATGGGCCGGGCCAGAATTTGATCAGCCTTAATGAATTCGTAATTGGCAATTTTAATTAATCCCCACGAAATCCGCACAAGATTGCAGCCGTGTCTTGGATTTCGTTGGATAGGATGCCGGATGCCGGATGCCGGATGCCGTTGTCATAGGATGCCACCAGGTGGGTTGACGGGCTGCTGAGATGATGATGCTAGGGGGATGATGAGAGGACAGGATGATGGCGGGGAGTAATCGGAGGATGCGCTATTTCTTTATCCAATGCACAGTTGCTCGATTTTGGATTTTGATTTGTTTTTGGCGGCCGAGCCTTGGCCGGGCGGTCATTTAGCACGTGTTTCCTATGGCTAGAATCTAATCATGCGGCCAGAATATGGCCAAGAGATGGAGTTATCATAGAGATGAGAGTGCCCCCTTTGCTAGCAGTAGGAACGAGAGAATGCTGCTCCCCAAAAGAGCCGACAGGACTAGTAAGGATAGACCTCGAGTATCGGTCAAAGAGACTGCCAAATCCCCTCACAATCACGTGCTCATCTCTGGTTCCATATAATGGACTGTCCCCACTCAACCCCTTCGTTTGAGGGTACGTTAGATGGCCTGCCAACCTGCCCTCGGCAGCCGTGCGGTTGGCCGCCCACTCCCCACAGCCCACAGCCCGCGGCCCACGGCCCACGGCAACGGGAACGCCAATGGCAACCCCCACGACCGACCACCAGCTACCGACGACGATGGCTTAACCATTAATTTACGCGCTAACCATGAAAGTACTTAAATATACAAATGTATCTCTGTCTCATCTATCTGTGCACTGCACTCACACAGAGAGAGGGGGCTCGGAGGGGACAGAGACAGTCAGACAGCGACAGAGTGAGTGAGTGAGTGAGTGGCACCGAGAAACGCCAAAATATTTGCTGCTAATGAGGTCGTGTTGTAATTTCGAATCCCCCGACAGCCCCTCTACGGTTGCTCCCCCCGCACAAACAATCCTTCTTCACTCCCCCTAAGCGACCCTGCTACCCAGCCACCCCTTTTCTAACAATCCGTTTAAAGGCCAACCAGCAATTAAAGCGATTTTCGTGCGCGTTTTTTCTCCCTCGCTCCGTTCGTTCGTTCGTTCGTTCTTGGGCTTCCGCGTTTTAAAACGCTACTAAGTCGTTAATGTGGTCTGAGTGGATTTGTGCTGGTTTCCCCCCTCCCATTGAACCCCTCGTACCCCAGGTATACCTTGAACACCTGGCTGGCTGGCTGGCTGGCTGGCTGGCGGGGTAATGAGTCTGGCAAAGTTTTTGATTGGATTATGAGGCTAAGAAAGTCAGGTGTTAGAGCGTTACAGGATTGCTTGTTTGCGTTTTAAAACGCCTGAAAGTTTGCTTTATACGGACCAAAGTCGCTTGGAATCTGCTGGGAGATTCTAAAATTGCTGGAGTCTTATGTGGAGAACGCTGATAGTTTGGAAAAGCTGATAGTAATTTTTGTAAGCACAGATTGAAACGTTTCGGGTCGCTCGTAGCTGTTTGTTGATCCGTTTTTAAAACGCGCACTAAGAGCGCTTAAGTTTCTCTTAAATATTTAGTAGTTTCATAATTACTTAGTGACAATTCTTCACAACCGACTCTTCTGGCTGTTATCCATCTGTCGGATCTCAGTGCATCTTCAGCGTTTCCATTTGGGTGCGTTTTAAAACGCAGGCAAAACGCGTGTGTCCTGTGCTGCTCATTTTCGTTTTTGCATATCTTCCGCTCCTATTTTCCCACATCATCCGCATCCGCATCTTAATCTGGCTGTTTGGGGCAGGGGATAATTAGCAGAAAGTGCTACAAGTGCATCAGCCAGAGTGCCAGCGTGGCAGGGAGACAGTGAGGCAGGGGCGAGTCGCTGTGGCAGTGGCAGAAATAGAGCGATCCAGGTCCGGTAAAGTACCACAAACTTCTTCTTTCCCCCCATATCTCTCTTCTGTCTCTACATCTGCCTCTGTGTGTGTGTGTGTGTGTGTGTGTGTGTGTGTGTGTGTGTTTTGGGAGCGTGTTTGACAATGTCCCCAGTGCGTTGTTAAGCTAATTTGCTTCATTTGTCTAGAAAAGTGACACACAGACCAACGAAGGAGCTACGGGGCGCCAAAGTGTTGACATGAGGCCATGTTCTCGGGCCTAGACCAGCAGACACTGCTGGTTAGGCCCGATCCTAGGCACTGGCACTGGCACTGGCCTGCCATGGCCAACATTAACGGGTCGCCCGCCCGGTCAGTGCAACACGAAAGCCAAGTCAACCAGCTAGTAGGAGCACAGAAGCCAAGAATACCACTAGTCCGCCTGTCCCATCCTATCCTTCTCCGTTTTGCTACCACCTCAAATTGGTTGGGGCACACAGTGGAACAGAACAGAATGGGTATGAATAGCTATGCAGGGAGAGACAATCAGAGGCGACTCGTTGCGACTCGGTGGCAGGCAACCCGAAAACAATAGCAAAATAATAGAAAAAACACCAGAAAAAAAGACAGAGAGAACTAGTATATTATATTATTATAAGAAACAAAAAAAGAAAATAATTCATATTAGATAAAATACCACAAAATACCAGAAAAAAAAAGTTCAAATGGATTAATATATAGAGAAATATTATTAATGCTAGAAAAATACCAAAAAATATAAATATTAGACAAAATACCATTTGAAAATCGACCGATAGGTGTGGGCTTCGATAACTATTCCACTGCATCTGCGATAAGTGTTGGTCAGTGATTTATTAGAAATATCTTTAATGCTACTTTTGTAGCCCACCTACTGTTTGCTAGTTTCCACATTTAACCCAGATATTGCGCAGTATATACCACTGTGCGCTCCGGCTTATCGACTCGGACTGTTGGGAGAGGAGACCCTGGGTGACGGGGCAACCTAGGCAAAAGTTTCAGCAGCTGGCGTCGCGCTGGTCGCTTTGGCCGTTCCTCGTTGTCAGCTCGTTTACTCTCCGCCCTGGACTAGGCCTGGTCCTGGAGTGCTAGAGTTCTGGGCTCCTAGGGTCTGGTCTGGGCCTGGCTGTGGAATCCATGCAGTGAAAACATGTGTAATTGATCTGATTAAGTTGCCTCTGCCTCTGCGTGTGTTTTAGTGTGTGTGTGTGTGTTTGGGAAGAAATATGCCAGGAGCTTGTGCGGACTTCTCCTCCTCAAACAAACACACACACACACAGTATGGGGCAGGCAGCCCCACAGGCAGACTGAGAGGAGAGCCCGGAGGGCATCCCGTAACGCCGCTTAGGCTTTGGCTCTTCGGTAGGGCCGTGGGGTGGGGGAAGGGGAAGGGGAGGCTTGTTGTCCGGCTATTTGCTGGTACTTACACTATTTGTTGGCCTTGTCCTTGTTGTTGCCACTCCTTGTATCTATTTGCTTGGGCCAGAGGCTTTTGCTGTTTAATGAAACGGAAATATAACATTTTAGTTTGTGGTCAAATATTGTATCTTTTTTTTTGCTTTTGTTGCTGTTGTACCACAGTCTGTGTTTGCGATGCACAGCAGGGCTTTGAATGGAATGTGGATATCCTTTATGATTCAATTGGAATTCACCTAAGTAGAGAAGTGCGAAGTGTAGCCATAACCGAGTTGGAAAGGCCGATTGGAAAGACTATTGGAATATTTTCTCTTCAATAGAAATAGTTTCTGAATTTGAGTAAATATTTATACATATTTTTAGTGAAGATACCTTTTCCGACTGCTTATAGTTAAAATATGTTGTTGGTTTTCCAAGTTTAGGCACCACTTTTCTGAAACTCTCATCGGAGATCTTTGGACAAAGTCGGACACTATCTGTCGGATACGAGAACTTTCAGTTACCCTAATGAAAGTGCCACACAATCTGCCAGGTCTGCCACTAGTGTCATCTATGTATGTATTTTGTTAGATGCTATTCGGTTAATTGAATTTTGTCCATTTCCCAAGCCTGGCATCTTCATTCTGCCACATTCTCGTCAAGACTTCATTTGCATTTGCATTTGCATTCCACAAAAGTAAATGTGTGGACAGTGCGTTTCAAAAGTGTTACAGTGTCTGCTGGTACTACGCGTATTTTATGATACAAATATTGAAGCCCTATTATTTGTTGGTACTTTAAAAGATTACTGCCATTATAGCTGGGGAGCTCCTATCGACCGATGTAATTCCTTTATGGGCTTAATGGGCTTAAATATCATTCTTGTAAGCTATCAGAAGATATCTCCCGGTAGTTCAATGGCGAAACGCACTGTTCTTTATTTTTTGACTGCAAATTTTGTTCTATTTGTCGAGCAAGCTCCCTTCCTCCCTCCTGCCTCAAAATTCCACTCACAATTGGTGGAGACCAAAACATTTGGGGAGCAACTTTGAGAAATTTTAATTTAATTTAATTTAATTTTATTTGCCTTGCTGGCCACACATTAAAATTTCAGCATGCATGGAGTTTTTTAATATTTAAATGCACATACTCGTATGCCCCAGTCCTCAAAGTCCTGCGCTTCCTTCTTCCCTATTTTTCTGTGCAATTCCCAAAAAAAAGGAAAAGAAAGGAAAGGAAAGGACGACATGTGGAGTCCTGTGGGACCGGACAACTATTAACTGCTCTGCGCCTACAGCCCCATTGCCACACCCTCTGTTGAGGCGGAGGGGGGCTTCTCTGCTATTATTATTATTATTTTCCCTATTGTCTGGAGCATTTCCTTCCGCTCGGTGCGTCTGCCCAGGCCCCACCCGAAACTCGTGAAAATCCCACCGAAAATCCATGCACACATGTAACACGAAGACCACTCGGAGAGAGAGGGTTGCCACTCACGCTGCCAGTGTGGGTAAACTCTACTCTGCCGTTTTACAGCACTGCCTTCAGCTGTCCAGCTGTCACAGAAACAGCTGTTGTGCAGAAACAGAAGCTACAGAAGCAAAAAGAGGAAACTTAAAGTCATTTTCTTGGAAAAAACCAACCAAAAACAAGGTAATAGATATTATTATGCAATAATAAGATCCTAAGGGTGTGCTAACTTTTGAAAACATAACAGAATGAACGATCCGAAAGCTTGTGGCAGCCAGAAGCCAGCACCAGCGGTCTACATGATCCTCTCCAACACTCCCGATGAGATGAACGATCCCACCCTGAGTCCGGGTCGTCGCCAGCTCCAGAAATGGCTGGGCCGCCGCATGAGAATTGTCCTAACTGATGGCCGCATTCTGATTGGCGTCTTTTCGTGCACGGATCAGCATGTAAACATTGTCCTGACCAAGTGCCGCGAGTATTTGGTGCAGGGCGGCCAAGGCCGAGCCCTACGCACCGTTATGGTGCAGGGCAAGCACATTGTGAACATCTGCTTGGATACTACACAGCTTTGAGTTGCTTTACTAACATCATCTGTACCATCAAATCGTGTACCGAATAAAACCCATGTTAAGGAAACAGGTGTCTGGTGTGTGTTTCTCTCACTTTGTGCTGGAAAATCTGTTCCGTTCTTTAGCTGGGAGCTTTCTTTTGGGGCAACCCTCGGATTCGTCATTTGCTTTGCATATGTAGGTTGTGGTGTCGCCAGCTCCAGCTCCAGCTCCAGCTCCAGCTCCTGCTCCTGCTCCTACACTCTGCCCTGCTGCAACTCCCTCTCCTGCCGATGCTGTCCCCTCTTGCTCCATCTACTGCTCCTTCCCCTCCATTTCTTCTCATGCATCCTTCGTCTTGTGTAGGCGTTTTGTTGTCGACGTGAAACGAAAGTGCAAATGCATATGTGTGAGTGCTAGTGTCTGAGTGTGTGTGTGTGTGTATGTGTGGCTGCCAGAAGGCAGAGCTGGGCTGGAGCTGGGCTGGAGCTGTGCCCCGCACTTCTTGGACGTTACTCCGAAAACTTTTGGCTAAAAGCAAAATATATGCTGTCCTGCCGTGATCTTCTCGTTCTCCCTCTCTGTCCCCCAGTGTGTGTATGTTGGCCCACGTGTGCTTGTGCTTGTGCTTGTGTTTGTGTTTCTATTTGTGTGCATTTTGTTGATAGTTGGGATTATTTTTGGGGCAATTTATGCGAAACAAGGCGTGGAGCCCGCTCCCACTGGCACTGGCACTGCCACTGCCTCTGCCCCTGGTGCAGCTGAACCCGGGCCACGCCCCCTTCTTGTTGTTGCCTGTCACCGCTTCTGTATGCATTTGGGCTTAAATTGAGCAACAATAAAGTTTTTGGCCACAGCCAGCCGCAGCCCAAACAAAAGTCCACTGCAACAAAGAAAAACAGGAAAAGGAACGAGCAAAAAAAGCCACCCATTCTGTGCCCTCTAGCTCTCTATTTATCCCCCCATTTTTTTTGTTTGCAATTTTCTCACTGGGCTATCCCTCTTCCTATTGTTTTCTTTGCAGATACAAATATTTGGCTACAATTCCCAGCTATATGCAAATTTCTCCGATGCCCTGAATCGTGCCCAGGGCATTGTGGGCGTCTCCATTTTGCTGCAGGTAAGCATTTAATTCAATCAATAATCGATACTTATCGATACCGATGTAATGCTGCTCTTGCCCCCCGCAAGGAAAACCAAAGAATATCCACCCCTTAACGCCTGTGTGTTCTCTTTATATCTCTGTATTATATAGCTGGGGGATCTGTCCAATCCGGAGCTTCGGATGCTCACCGATCAATTGGAGCGCATACGCTATGGCGGCGACGAGGCGTTCGTGAAGCGTCTCTCGATACGCGGCCTCCTGCCGGACACCGACCATTACATGACCTACGATGGCTCGACCACGGCGCCAGCCTGCCACGAAACGGTCACCTGGGTGGTGCTCAACAAGCCCATCTATATTACAAAGCAACAGGTGAGCCATATACTACATTATTTAAGGCCATCAGCAGCTCCAGCTCCAGCTCCAGCTCCAGAGTATGCCGACACTTCTGAGGGACACTAAGAGAGCTCTCACTTTAAACTGGGATTATCAGCCAAGTTATCGGTTAGATTCTGTTCGAAATGGTACTATAATAAAGTAGAATTCCACACCTGGGGCTGTCAGTGCCCCAGCTTCCGTTTCAGCGACTCCCCAGCCGCTTCCTTAGCCATCTTTCGCTGCTTCTTGGCCGCCTCTCCTTCTCCTGTGATCATTTTTGAGTGATGGCCACCTTAATGTTTACTAATTAGTATACAGTACTCCCTACTGGCCGTTGGCCCTTGTCCGCTGTCGCTGTTGTTTGTCTCTCGTCTGTTTTATTAGCTAATTTCATTTAAGTTTTAAATTAAATTTCTGCTGGAGGAGCAGCAGCAGCCGAAGTATCAAGAGCGCCAGAGGCAGAGGCAACAAAGTGGATAGTGACCATAACTCAAAGGAATGGCGGAAAGCACACACACACACACACACACACACACTCAAGGAAATGGCGGAAAGCATACACACATACACACACAGATAGACTAAGAGAGGGGGGTAGAAAAAATTTAACACAAATGTTTATTAAGTGCAGCGCTGTAATAAAGACGCCAACATGCATGCGGCATGAGGCACGAGGCACGAGGCACGAAAGAGAGTGAGGAGGAGAATGAAGCGGTTGAATGGTGGCCAGCGGCATACGTGTAAACAATGTAAGCTGTGAGAGAAAGGGAGAAAGGTAGGGAAAGAGAGACACACACATGGCTGCATCCAGTGGCAGCCGCAGCAGCAGCAGCAGGAGCAGAGCAGAGCAGCAGCCTCATAAAAACTTCAACAAGCTCAATGGCACCCATGGGCACATGATTACAACTTGTGGCAGCCATGGAGGACCGACCCATGGAGGATGCCCAGACACCGCCAAGCGACGGGGCAATGTAATTTAGTGGCACGGCCAACGAGAGACAGAGAATGGCAAAAAGAGAGAGAGAGAGAGAGAGAGAGAGAGAGAGAGAGAGAGAAAGAGAGGGAGGAAGAGACTGCACCTTGCTGGTAAAAACATAATTTACCAAATTAAAGTAACACCAGGAGGAAAGGAGCAGGAGCAGGAGCAGGAGCGGGAGTAGGAGCCGGACGCAGGATGCAGGACGCAGGAAGCTGCGCGACATGAGCTAAAATTGCAATTAACCCATTAACGTACGCTCTGTCACAGCAAGGGCAGTGATTGAGGGAGCCATAGAGAGGGGAACAAAAGAGCTGCATAACGATAATTCCATGCTTCACATCAGGAAAGATCCATTCGCAATACTTGTAGAGACAGATATCAATGAAAGACCTAGCCATATCATGGCCAATTGATTCTTGAAATGACTACCAGACTTACGTTCATATTTGTGTGGTGTTTGTGGTGTGTGGGCTGTGTGTTTTCGTGGGTTAATTGCCGCTGTCAATCAGCACGGGACGGGAATCCCAAACGTCGTCCATGGCGATTCCATGGCGAAATGCCTTGAGTGCCATTTGGTGTTGCATGCTTTCGGGCGCCTCACCCACACTTCCTACTTAATTCACACTTGAACGGGCACTCGGGGGAAAACCTGTTACCACCCTGCAGCATCAATCCCTCCAGTACACTCCACCACTCCACCACTCCACCGTTCCAGCACTTCATCTCTCCTCAATCAACATCCACATCAACCCAAGCCAAGCCGAGCCAACCCACGTTTGTCGTGAAAAGCGATTTTGACGGAAGTCAATTGATAAACAGATTGAGTAGATTAAGTGTTATTGACTCGATGTTGTCGTTGTCGTTGTCGTTGTGTCGCTGTGTCGCTGTGTCGCTGCTGTGTCTCATCGATGCTGCTGCCGTCGGTGTGTGGATCCTACTTTGATTCGATTTTTATGCATGTACATACTATATATGTATGTGTGTATATTAAACTTTTTGTTTTTTTTGTTGTTCAGCGAGTGCTTATTTTTAGGATTAGAAATTTATGTCAAGCGTGCCTTCGATGGGGGACTGGCTTGCCAGGGGTTGCCAGGGGGAGGATCGATGTGCGAAAGGTTTTATAATTATGCACGTTAAACGCTTAACAGATACGTATACGGATACGGATGCGATGCCGGGTCCTATCTACATCTATGGTGGGGTCTATTGTCTCTGTAGGAATCATTGATCCACTTCCGCGTCTCGCACTTGAGACATCAAAAATGTATTCGAGACTACAAACAGCCTGCAATTCAAGCACAAAAATACCATAATTTCTATATAAATACTAACAAAATATTCAACTTATACCTTTGCATGGTTGCATTTCCGTTGCAGTTGCATGCCTTGCGCCGTCTCATGCAGGGCAGCCCCGACCACCCAAAGGCCCCGCTGGGCAACAACTACCGGCCGCCACAGCCGCTGCTCCACCGGGCCATTCGCACCAACATTGACTTCAAAACGACGAAAACGAACGGCAAGGCCGCCTGTCCCACCATGTATCGCGAGGTCTACTACAAAGGTACATACATCAAATATTATTTTCAGTGTATTTTGGTATATTTTGAAAATAGTCACCAGGCGGAAGTGCAAACCGACTGAGGGAAACGTCTGAAAGATAGCCAATTGGTTGAATACGCTCAACAGAGAAATAAATGTATAGACGTACATAGACTTGAAGGAATTTTAAAAATCTTAAAAAACCTGTCAGGGATCAGGTGGAATAATATTACAGTGCAACACTTTTGAAGTCATCGTTTAATGGAGTTGTAAAAGATACTTTCTGAATTTTGTATCTTTCTCTCTTGCAATTCTTCCACAGCGACCAGTTGGAAACAGAACTAAGACGTAACTACTATAATGGCCGTTCTGACGTAAAGACGTAGTGACGTAACGTAAGCGCAAGACGTAATTAGCGTGCGGCGTGCAACAGGAGCTTCCACTAAACATACATACATATACAACCCGGCGATGCTGAGGAAAGACCGAGGATTGCTGAGCAGAGCGGAGCGAAGAAAATGGAGAGCGAAGGCGATGGCGAGGGCGGAAGGAATACATACACGCATACATACTCGAACATGCATATACATACATATATATACATAGGAAGCCGAATAATATTGATAGCGATTACGATAACGATAACTAGCATTAAATGTGCAACATTTTTTTGTCTCCCCAAAATCAATCAGACTTTGATTGCAGTCAGAGATACTCCCCCTGGTTTTTTTTGTGTATGTGTGTGTAGCCCTAAATGAAATACTGCGTAAGTACGATAACTATAACGATAACGATAACGATAGCGATAGCCATAGCGATTACTAGTAATCAGAATTACCAGCATAATCTCTATAACCATAATAATAATAATAATATATCCTGTATATTTAATGCCAGGCAAAAGTTGCAAATAAGAGATCAAAATAATAATAATAATAATAATAATACCTACCAAACACGCAAACACACACGAAATAGCGAGAAGAATACGCAAGTATTTGTGTATGTATATGTATGTGTATATTAATAGCCGGAGGCATGTTATGGAAACAGAGAGAATGAGAGAGCATTATGCAAAACCCACCCAAAAAAAAAACCGACTAGACGCGCATAGACTAGAAAAAGTATATTTTGTTGTAGCCTTTTTTTTTGTTGTGTGTGATTTAGGCGCTGCTGCTCCCGTAATAGTCGTAACAACAAAATTCCGTTACGAAACCAATTTAAATATGATAATCTCTGGAGCCATAACTCTATGCGTAAATATTCAATTGAATTTCGTCAAGAATGGAGCTAGGAAAAAGTGTATATATGCTCTCTTTGATGGAGCAGAAGATCCACTTTCTTGCAGGTAGAAACGAGAGAACTATCATATATATTTCCGGGATATCTTCCTTAAACTTCCGAGGGGTGGGGGGTTCAGCGTGATATTTCTGGATTTACCGCTGCCACACATTTAATTCCAATTTTCAAATTATGAATTGGGTATTTTTGTTTCTTGTTTTTGTTTAATCTATAATCCCGATATGCATAGCCGAAAATACCCCCGCACGTTGGCATGTTGCACGCACCACACAAATGCGTGCATTTTGCATTTTAAATGCACTTAACCGCAGCATCCACTACCCCCACTTAGCCTCCCAATGGGGCAGCGGCAATGGGCAATGGGGGCGTGGTTTGAGTTTTCAGTTTTCGGAATGGGAATTTAAATCGGAATGGGCATGGGAGCGTGGGGGCGTGGGGCGTGGGGCGTGCGGCGTGGGCATGGAACTTGTGTAACCGGGGAAGGGACCCACTGTTATCAAACCCACTTACCAAAAGCACCCAGAGCCCAGAGGCTGTCCTGTCGCTTATCGAACAGCAAATGCAACATGAAACCACAAAATCTGTTGCGGTTATTTAAAATCACGTTTAAATACGAAAGTGCAGCCAGTCCCGGATCCCGGATCCCGGAGCCTGGAGCCCGGAGAACGAAGCCCGGTCCAGGGGACCCGCATAAAAATCAACTTTTTAATGGCCGAAAGGAAAATGATTACGTACACGCCGCGTTGGCCCAAAAGCTGCATAACTTTTTCCCTAAATGGCAGCCAGACAGGGGCAGGGCAGGGCAGGGCAGGGCAGGGCAGGGGCTTCGGTCTGGGGTCTGGGGTCTGACTCTCTACAAAATCACATAATAATTTGTATAAATATTTGCATTATTTGCACAAGTTGACATTTTTGTTGCTGGTTTTTGTTTCGTACTCTCGTACTCGTACATATTTTTCGCAGTCTGCTGAAACTCTTTCAGCTTTTCATTTCAGTTTTTCTACTGTTTTTGTGTGTTATTTTGTTTTGTTCTCAGCTGCTGTGCATCGAGGGATTTGCCAATGGAAAATTATGACTTAAATTAATACATTTCAAATGGAATTTATTTCAGCAGCAGCAACAGCAGCAGCATCAAAAGCAGATGCTGCCCTTTTTTCAGAGGGCTGAGATCTATAGATGCCCTACAAATGCAGGAAGACGGGTGTAAAGAGTCGAAGGGGCATTTGATGCTCTTCTGATTCTCTCCGTACAAATGCACCTTAAAGTTTCTTTCGTCTATGGGTTCGGTTCGTCTGCAAGTTCTCTCTACTGTGATCGCTCGAAGGGGTATCCCGTTGCACTCCTGCACTCCTGATGACTGCTGACTAATTAGCCAGGCCCGTCCTCGCCAGGGCAAGGCCCAGTCCATCAGCAAACTCAATCCCAACTTTGGCTGACTTTCAATCAATCAAATGGAATGGTGCGGGGCGGGGCGGTGCTGGGCTGGGCTGGCCAAACTGATTTGCGGTGAGTTCTGCACGAAGTTATGCTGCTGCTTCCACCAGCAGCCGAGGGAAGTGGCTGACCACTGCATCAGGACGGGGCTAACCTGACATATATTGGCAGGCAGGCAGCAGAAGGGAGGCTGGAAACTGGCAACGAGAGCAACCACAGAGATTCTGAATCGGTACTCTGTATCGGATGCGAAGCCTATATTAACCTATATATAGTAAATTTGTCCTTTACTTCATTCGGCACCACCAGGTGGCACTCTGCTCTTAGACCTCCATTAATGGCACTCCACACTCCACACTCCACACTCCCCTCCCTCGCAGCTTGTGTCTGAGAGGCATATGAGTTTTCCCACCTCTGCGATATGGAGGGTATAGCCCTGGAACAGGGTATCGTCTAGTCTCTCATCTTGGGCCACAGGAAGTGGCCTTTTTTCCGATGCCATAAATACTGGACTGCCGCTGTACAGCATTTACGTTATACATATACTTTTTTACACCATTTCATTTCATTTTTCGCATTCATATGCAGATGCGATTGCAGTTGGCCATTTGGCCATTTTTTTTACCATTTCATTTCGACTATTGGTCATTTTGGTGATTATTTTTAATATATTGGCCATTGGCCATTGACCGATATGGGGATGGGGATGGGGGACAGGGACTGTAGACAGGGACAAAAGACAACATCGATCATCGGAGGGGCAGTCGGATTCGGAGACCGGGGCAAGAGAGAGGACTGGGGGAAAATATTGCAATTTGACAAACAGACAAATTCGTTTATATTCATTGCTGAAGGGTTAATGATAGGGCAGAGTCGTTGGCCCAAGCAATACCCTGTAGCTCAATCGCGAAATGGAGATGATAGATGACATATTGATTGAATATTGATAGACCTCCAAGCAGAACAAGCTCTATGATAGTGCTTTTTAGGGTATCTTTTAGATAACCATATGGCTCTGATGACTCTAATAAATCATTCCCTCGCTTAAGTAATCCCTCAGGTAATGGGCACAAGATATTCATGTGTATCATTCAAGTGATTTGGGCATCGGTTTATTGATGACTAAAGAAAAGATTCTCCATTCCCAGATCTTCTACTAAAAAGATACGATACGTTCTACGAATAAATAGTTTGGCTATTTCCACCAGATACCTTCCAGTTGAGACTTCCACGGGAGATTATCATTTCTAGTTCTATACAAACCAGAAACAGAAGCAGATGAGCAGAGCCAAACAGCCTTTGGGCTTATTGAACGCAAATTCCATGACTGGTTATGCTAATGCCCCCAAGAGCTGCCCCCCCACAGGGCCGCACAGTTGATGGGATGTATGGCACATGGGGTCTGCGCTCTAATGCTGCAGTTGGGTTATCGCTGTTGTCCACACAACACTAATTAAATTATGGAAATTAAATTGAATTGAGCATATTTGTTGTTTGCAGTTCATAAATTTCCCCCCCACCCGAGCTAAAATGTCCAAAGCAGGGCCTGCCCCTGCCCCCCTCTGCATGCATGTAAATCATTTTACAACAAAATGCATAGCACAGCAGCAGTAGGACAGCACTACAGTACAGTAGTACAACAGCAGCAGCAACACACTTAATTATGACATCATTAATTTTTAATAATGACAATTTTGCGACAATAAATCACTTAACTAACACAAATGCACAGCGGCGAGTGGTGAGCGGCGAGCGGCGAGCGGCGTATGGTGAGTGGAGGGAGAGTGGCGAGTGTGTGTGTGTGTGGGGGCGAATGCCAGGGTTGCCAGCGATATGCATGAAATTAGTAAACTTTAAACAATGCACACCACACAGAGACACAGAGCCACACAGACAGGCAAATGGGCTGGCAGAGAGTTGACCGAGGGTTGGGGGCGGGGGGCATAAGCAAATAAACAGATTGACTGTCCCCACAGCCTTGTCCTGGCATTGAGTGATGGCGGCCCAACACACGAGAGAGGAGGATGTTGTCCATGGTCCATGGTCCATGGTCCATGGCTGTCGCTGTTGCTGTTGGGAGTGTGTGGGGGAGGAAGATGGAGAATCGACTGGACTGGCTTCACTGGGATGAATTTAATTAATCTCGCTACCGTCAGTTGCACACAATTGCAATTAACTTGCAACACTCGCATAATTACAGGCGACCTCATGTTTTGCTACTTATCAGCATCAACATTGACCCAACAACAGCAGCAACAGCCAGGAGCCACATTGGAGCTCCCTTATGGACCCATCGGATACCCTGAATGCCGGTAACATTATGGCGGAAGCAAAGAATCTTTAAATTCTATGATACGAGTGGCGCGTAGCGAGTAATTAGAATGGCGAGTACAAAGTGGCGGCGAGTGCCAGAGTGGTTTGGATGAATGAACAAATCCATATTTCAGATCAGATTGAATCCAAGCTAATCTATTATTTCTGCATGCCGTCGGTCGCTTTTGGTCAATGGGTATAACATGCGACAAGCTTTCTCTGACACATGAACTTTCTCTCTCCCTCTCTCGCTCTGTTTCTCTCTGTGTGTGTGTAGTGGTTGGCTCATTGGTCATTTGGTTGCAGCTCTCGGTCGGTGTTAGCGGTTGCTCGTCATCGTCATCATCAACGTTGTTGGTGCCAGTGTTGGTCAGCGCCTGATTGCAAATGTTGTTGCAGCATCAGAATGGGAAGGGGTGGGGTCGGCGGTAGGGGGTCGGGTGCTATTTGTTAATGCCTGTAGAGCACAAAGCTGCTGCTGCTGCCTTGTGGTCGAGTGAGGCACCTGCCGCAGAGTTTCCACCTCCAAATGCCACATGCCACATGCCTCCACTCATTCTTCGCCCAC